TGAGAAGCAATAAAGAATTCTACGCACGGCTATACAGGAATAAAGAAAAAATTAAAGCAATTTATCACTCTTTTGTTCCTTGCATTAATGGATCTGCATCGAAGGATAAATAGATGAGCTTCTCTAAAATGGGTCAACTCATAGTAAGTGTGTATGAGAGAGTGTATTGATCTTACAAGATACGGCTTCTCGAAAACTTTTTTCCACTACGCATTGCTCCACCTCCAAATCTAAATGATCGTATTATCTGTGTTAGGTGGTTTCTAATCCACAACATTTTGTTCAAGTTTATTTGAAACTGTGATGTCGTATACCACTTACATCACCGAAGTGGACAACTCATTATACAACCAAAGTCGAGACTTGGCCAGACCAATTTGTTGAAAGGGTGCAAGAGTACACCAAATTGAGCAAGATTGGAAGAGAAATAAATAAACAAAAGTCAAAGGGGTACCACCAATAGTTGTAGATTTGACCGACGACTAGTGTTTCGATTCATTTTAGTAGTTATTTATCTTTTTTTTTGTAAGTGACATTGTATTAATGTGTTATGATGTCTAATATATACATTTTGAAGTTTGTCAAAAAATATCTGCATTGATTACAAGTTTTTGCATGTTCTGTTTTTTTTCTGTTATGCCAGGAAAGGTTCCGAAAATACATTTCTGGTATAAAGGGTTGTTTCGGAGATACATTTTCAGGACGTGCCCTGGTACAAGATAGAGTTTGTGAGATCCATACTAGTCTCCCTCTACTATAAATATACATCACTTGTCATTTGTTTCATACCAAAACACAATAAACTAGAATTAACATCATTTGACATGTTGGAAATGTTCACTTTACCAACGATACACCATAAAGAGAATTTATGATCACTGATTACACCCCTCTTGAAGATCTGCAATACACATTGCAGGAGCTTCTACCATATGAAGACAATCACAAAATTGTGAAGATCGAGTATCAGTCGTCATCCATTGACAAAGAAGGTAAGCTTGAGTCCAACAACTATGAGATGAAGATGACCATTGATTTAAGGGCTATGTGGAAAAGCTTTTTCCGTTTAGAACCAAAAGTTTTGATCGAGCTGGATGTGATTGTTTCGAGATCGGTCGATAATATTATCAAGATGTTACAACGTCCACATGGATATTGAAGTTTAATGTTTGATCTATGTTAAAATCCCTTATGTATTGTTGATTTTATGATATCAATGGTATTTTCATTTTGTCAAGTTGTTTTTCCATTCTGTTTTTCTGCTTCTACTTCATAACATTTCAGAAATATACCTCCGAAAGTTTTACATATGTTAGATATCGGAATATTCCATATTATGTAAATAAAATATTCTGTAAGTAATTAGGATATCATGTAAATAGGAAATAGAATATTTATGTAATTATTATAGAATATTATGTAATTACTATGGCATTTATGCCTCCTATTATATATAATGAGCTCTGATGTGTAATTCACACACACGGATTCAATCCAACCTTCCTCTTGTTCTCTCATTATTCAACAACATAGATACATCTCAGGAATAATTGATGTTTTATTAAACGACTGTGTGTTCGGAAACACATCTCCAGAATCTGAAGGCATTATAGTATTTTCACGATGTGCGCTAGAAAATTATGGGGTGCATTAAGAAATTCACTTCTCTTATTCATCAAAGATACTGGGGCTTATAAAGGCAAATGACCAATAAAATAGATAAGGCCCAAAAGACTAATATGGTCCAAAACAATTCAAAAGCAAAACTACTAAACAAACCATCCCTTACATTGATCTCTATAACAAAAGATCAATTTAAAATAGACAAATCATTCATCCCTAAGCCTCCCTTAATATGCAAAAGGAACCAAGCTTCAATGGCTAAGTAAGTATATCACCTAGCTGATCTTTAGTGCTACAGCGCTTAAGCTCAATTATTTTATCCTTAGTGAGATCTCTATGGAACAGAAATCTAACACCAATATATTTACATCTTCTATGCATAATAGGATTCTTTGATAGCTGGGTGGAGGAATTATTCATAAAAAAGGACTGAACCCTTCTTCTAATTTACATTCAAATGGCTTAGAATACTTCTCAACCAAATTCCTTGACAGGCTGAAGATGTTGCAACTACAAATTCTTCCTCTTTGGTGGGTAAAGTGACTATGGATTACTTCTTAGATGACCATGAGATTTCACCAGAGCCAAGCTTGAAGACATACCCTGATGTGCTCTTTCTATCATCATTATCGCTAGCATAATCCGAGTATGTCCAGCCTTGCATTTGCAGGCATCTTCACTCTTATACTAAATACCAAGGCTCAAGGTACCTTCAAGTATCTCAAGATCCATTTAATAGCTGCTACATGCATATCAGTGGGTCATTCCATGTAGCTAGCCAACAAGCATACTAAGAATGCAAGATCATGTCTTGTAGCAAGGAAATACATTAAGCACCATACCATTTGTTTGTAAGAAGTAGCATCTGAAGTCTTTCCATTTTCATCTTTCACTAGTTTACATCCAGGAACAATTGGACTGCATACTTTATTGCACACCCTTCCATTCTAAATCTTGACAGAATGTCTATTGCATATTTTTGTTGACTTATGAAGATCCCATGCTTACTTTGATTTACCTGAATGACCAAGAATTACTTCATTTTGCCCAAATCAGTGCAAGCCATTACTAGTATAGATGAGGTCATCAACATACAAGTTAACTATGAGAATTCTGCCCTTTCTACCATGTATGTTCATAAGGTCACTTCTCAAATTTAGCAACGCAAAAGTAAGATTCTATCTTGTTATACCAAGCTCTTAGGACTTGTCAAAATTCACTTTTATGATATCAAGAGGGTTGATCAATGTACACATCCTCTACTAGTTCACCATGTAAAAAACACTTTTTACATCAAGTTGAAAGACAAACCATTTCTTGCTAGCTACAACTGCCAATATAGTTCTTATAGTATCCCATCTAACAACAGGTGCAAGCACCTAATTGTAGTCAATACCATATTTTTGTGATTACCCTTTTGCCACTAATATGACCTTATGCTTATCAACTTCTCCTCTTTAATTCTATTTTGTCTTACAGATCCATTTAACTCCAACGGTCTTCAAGAATGCATGAAGGGTAGTGAGCTCCCAAGTGCCATTTCTTTATATGGACTCTATCTCAAGGTCCATAGCTTTTCTTCAAATTTCTGACTTGAGAGCTTATTCATAAATGCTAGAATCTTCACTTGTACTGAAGACAACAAGATTGTGCAATTGATCTTCTTTCCCAGTTTTTGTACCAATAACATAGTCAGTAAAATAACTTGGAGGTTTTCTAATCCTTTGAGGTAACTCATTAGAATCCCCGCCATCACTAGAATCATCTTGAGGTAACTCATTAGAATCAAAACCATCACCATCACTTGGATCATAAGAACTTTATTGTCTTAAATTCTTCACTAACACCAAGGTTAACACACTTAATACTTTTGCCACCAAGTTTCTTTCTATGTGCATCAAAGACATACAGATGAGCTAGACAACCAAAAACTCTAAAGTAATGCAATGATGGTTTTGATCCACTCCAAGCTTCTTCAGGAGTCAAGTTTTTCATTGCAAGAGTAGGACTACTCATGACATAAGTGGCCCATTTCATTGCATCAGGCCAGAAATGGCCAGAAATGTATGGGTACATTTCTGCAGACAACATGCTTCTGACCATATTCATAAGTGTTTTATTTTTCCTCTCATATACTCCATTTTGTTGTGGAGTATATGATGCAGTTAGTTGTCTTTTGATGCCTTGTAAACTACAAAATTCATTGAATGCAATGGATGTAAATTCATGTCCCCTATCAGGTTCTGAGACATTGAATCAAACAACTAGATTCTCTTTTAATCGATGCTTTAAATATTTTGAAAACATCAAAGGCCCTAGACTTTTCTTTCAAAAAATAAATTCATAGTTTCCTACTTAAATCATCTGTAAAGGTGATAAAGTACATGTTTCCTTCCTCTAACAGATTCAGGCTTAATTGAACCATATATATCTTACTTACTACACAAGCTCTAGCTTCATAGTAGCTGAACGAGATGACCGGAGGAAGAAGGTTCAAAAATGGCGTGCAACGACTTAAACGGACCCAACAGTTTCTACAGTTGTAACTGTAAACAACGGTTTTCTGTTTTGGGTCCCAGGTGCTTTCTAGTACCAATTATTGGTACAAAATGATATTCTCTTATTCATCACAATGATACAGGGCCTTATACAACCAATACAACGGACAAGGCCCAAAACAATTCAAAAGCAAAACTACTCAACATCTTAGAGTATCTCTTAGATATTAGTTATTATTATCATGATTTGTTCTTGATTTATGATTAAGTCTATGCATCTTTATAAATAGGGATTAAGATTAAGTCTTTTGTATTAAGTCAATAGCTATTATCAATAATATTTTTCTCTCATCTTTTACACATAATCACAAATTCAACAAGGTCCTCCTTGAACTACTGATCACTTCCCCTATTGAGTTCCCAAAAGTTTGAGAAAGTGTGTTGTGTTGTCTTTTGTTAATGATAGGTTATATTGAAGAAGAAAAATTCATCTTGTTGGATCAACAAATTGTTCTCGGCATTGTCGTCTACCATTTTGTGTGCTTGAAGATTAAGATTGGATCATATATGGTTTCGGTTGATTCTCTCAATGTTGGTTTTGATATTAGTTTGTTTAGTTTGATCTCGTATTTTTAAGGTTAATTTGTAACAAGTTGAAAGCTTAATAAACTTCAACTTGAAGAGGAGTGTTGGAATATTATAAATATTTTATATTAATGTAAGATCTCTTAGAGTATCACTTAGTATCATTAGATATTAGTTATTATTATCATGATTTGTTCTAGATTTAGAATTGACTCTTTATACATAGGGACTAGTATTGAGTTTTTTTGTATCAAGTCAATAACTATTATCAATAATAGAGATAGTGTTTAAATACTAACATACTAAAATACTAATATTCAGAAGTATTCTTACATCTAAACCCGATGAATCACTGCCTGAACCACTGCTGTAAGATTCAGTAATGTCATCAAAATCACTACATCCAGCACAGTGTTCATCCTCTGGATTCCAAATGTAGCGGCTCATAAAATAACTTGTATCAAGAGCTTCAGTCGATGGTATGAACATAGCCTGTAGAGATTTGGGTGCATTCCAAGCGTGAGAAATCAAGACATATGTCACAAACATATCAAGCTCAAATGAAATTAAAAATGATGACCTTTTGCCTTGCTAGCGTATCCCAATTAATGTCCTTGAAGAAAGCATGGCCTTTAACCTGCCAAAAAAATATTTTGTTTTCTTTTGTGTAAATATAATACCATGATTTGCTAAGTATTCCATTTTTAAAAGGAAGTAACTAACTCACTTCTGAAGCTCCTGTTGTACCTAACCTTTGTACTGGGTTTTCGATTAACAATCTGAAAGAGAACTTTATTGTCAGCCATCAACAACATAACGGGAATCTTAATTGTCAGCAAACTCTTTGCTTTACATATCAATTTTTAACATGACTTTGGTGTCTAGAATTAGCATTTATTTACTTCTGCAGTTATGTTGTATAATACATATCAACTTTGATAATGCTTACTTATTCATCAAATCATATGCTTCATAGCTGATCTCCTCAGGATACTTTGGCCATTGTATGTCTCTGTTAATTATGTTATCAAAAATTTGCTGCAAGCAAAAATCAATGAGCCTAAATAAAAATTATTTCATATGGATCCAACAAAACAAAAATTCAGTAACTACTTTTAGATCCAAGAAATCACTTACCTGTGGATGTTCTGCATTAAAAGGTGGAACACCCACAAGAAGCTCATAAAGTATGACACCCACCGACCACCAATCTGCAGTTGCACCTACATGATTACAAGCATGTATAAGAATGTATTTAAAATGAAATGAATTTGAAAGGAAAATTTAAATAAAACTAGTTATTTATTCATTTAAAAATGAACTGGCTAACTTAAAGCCCTTGTCTATGATACATGTACTATTTAATCAGCATTAAAGTGCAAACCATGTCCCATGCCCAGAAGTATTTCGGGTGCCAAATAATCTGGAGTGCCAACCACTGACTGTTGTTGACGTTCTTCCCTCTTTGAAACATGTCGAGATTTTGGTTTATCATCGCCTAAAAACCCATTAGCGAAAGATGAGGGTGCTGACAAATCATCGGTGCTGTTGATGAGCCCAACTTTTGAGAGTCCAAAGTCTGTTAACTGTAATAAAAAGGATCAAACATTTAGAAAAAATATCAAATAATATTTTCATTAGAGCATTTTAAGGTAATTTACAGTAATTTATAGAAAATCAAAGCCCAAGGGCCACAACATTACAATTCATGAGTCCTGGATCCACCTACTAGTAAGGGGTGTTCAAATTCAAAACAATCCAAATAAAAAACAAACAAATTTAAAAAAACTAGAGACAGGTTGGACTCTTGTGATTTTAGTCTTCATAATGAACATTTTAGGGCCTCGTCGGTCAATTGTTGAGTTATTTCAGCATTTCAACTTCACCTTTCACCATGACCACCTCTTTGTTCGATTTTTTTCTCTTCTGCCACTTTGCAACGTTCTTTTTCTTGATTTTCCATTTCACCAAGAATTTGTCTGTGGGTTTTGTATTCCTCTACTGCTGATCCTTCTGCCTTACACCCATAGTTTTGTAGTCCAAATCTTCTTGTTAGACCTTTAAAAAAAGATCCCCAGGTTGGATTGGAGTTTACTTGATTCCAAGAAGGAAATATAAAAATTCTACAAACATCCAAGCTCATGAAGGTCCAATGCACTCTATAGAAGCTGTAAATGTTCTGTATATTCGCCCTTGCAATCAATCCAATAGGGTCTATCCCCATAAAAGTTGGTAAATTCACCATTTGCACTGCCTCCATCTCCTAGAACTCATGCATTTTACAGAATTGGATTCCAAAGAAATAACAATTTTTATTAAGAATTAGGATAGAAAAGAAGAGAATCTCTCTTGAAGGTTTCTTCATAATAGAGAATACTCTACTAACAATTACAATAATCAAAATGTTCTCTACCCTTTCATTCTCTTATTTATACACATACCCTCTAATAACAACATCAACTAACTAACATCTCACAAGTCATAACTATTTAAGCTCTCTAATATATACTATTGTATATCCTAACATCTTCGAATATTGTAATCATGAATAAAGTATTCTTGCAAAAGAGTAATCTTTGAAGAGAGATTCTCTCCTATGATATTTCTGTATAAAAATGCTATTTCTTTGGAATCCAATTCTTTGGTTCCTAACAAATTGTCTCACCTGCCGGATATATAGATAACATGCTTCTTATCATAACTTGGATAACCTAGCTCTTCTCCTTCCCTGGGCTACCTTTTTGAGTTGAATTAGGAACTCTCCATACCTAATGTTAGTAATCTAGGCTAATCCACTATGAATATTGTCATTTAAAAAAGATAATTTTGTTGTTGATATAAAAAAGTAACAAGGAAAGAGGTATGTAAAATAATTAAATCCATGATGTCGACCTTAATGTGACCATCTTGACCAATCAATAAGTTATCTGGCTTCAAGTCTCTGTGAATTATATGTTGGGTATGCAAATACTCCAACGCAAGAACATGTGGAAAGACCAAGAAAAAGATAAAAATAAGATTAAAAAAAAGAAAAGAAAAATTTTAACCAACAAACTACAAAAGCCAATATGCTTACAACTTCTGCAATATATACACGAGCCATATCTTCATCTAAGCAACCTAGGTTTCTCAACATAGAATAGAGATCCCCACCGTTTAAATACTCCATAACTAAATAAAGATTTTCTCTACATGTGAAAGAATAGAAAAAACGGACCTGTTCATCACAATGACATGAAAATCAGATCTATTAACGATGTGCATCAACTTCACAAATGAAGAATGAAGGACGTGGTATGGCCTACATACCACAAAAGGATTTCGAATAAATATAAGGATGTCTCGCTCAGCCAAAATATCTTCAACTGAATTTTTACGAATCATATATGCCTTTTTTAGAACCTACAAAAAGATCAAAGAATAGTTTAAACTTTTTTCTAATTATTACTTAGTGACTTTTAAATGGTTTCTGTCATACGGTGGGAACAAATGACTGTTTTTGGAATGATAGTTTGCGTTTTGCGTTTGTTTTCGCAAAATGTCGCACTAAACAAGAGTCGCCACTGAACTTTTATTTTATCCAACAACGAAAGGAAAAAAGCACAGAAAAATTCCTTTTTTGAGATATTTCTCGGGTTCGGGGGTAGATTATAGAAAGGGAAGGTATTAGCGCCCTTTCTATCCGTGGTTATCCACGGGCTCTTAGGTACTTGCTCATATTGTTTTCAAAATGGTTTTCTTTGTACTTTGTGGGTTTGAAAAAGTTTTTGTTTGAAAACTTCGATTTAACTCTTGCTTCTGTCCTCAAGAGCGTATGAAGTGTTTTTGAAAACTTTGTTTGAAAAGTGTAAGTGAAAAGTTTTTGTTTTGTTTTGAAAGAGCAAGTACCTAAGAACCATCTACCTACTCGAAAAAAGAATCGTTCTATGCTAATTTCCTTTAGACAACGCTACCCCACTATTAATGAGTAGGTAGCATCGTCGTTGGAGTTTGAGGGTCAATTCGAATGAGGGATATACGGTCACTAAAGCAATGTTAGGACACTTTAGCGGTAACCCTAATGTCTTAGATCATTTGTTTGAGGCAATCATATTCGAGGCAACCATTTCGAGGCGACTATGATCTTTTAAACAAGAGGGCGACCTCTAAAACGACCTATACTCAATGACCGTGTACGAAGGCAATCAAGTGGGGTGTACCCTAAGAGTGCGCATGTGCAAGTATGTCGTTTTTAGTTATTTTTGTCTTTGTACATGTTAAGGGTGATCTAAGTTGATTTTAGGTTAAAACATCCAGTCTTGTCATGTCATCCTATTATCAAACATCTAACAGTTATAATTTGCGGAAATAAGATGCGGAATTTAAATTACAAGATGTCGGGTATTTACATTGCCAAAGACAAACCCATTAAAAATAAATAAAGCGATAAAAATAAATAAAAGTCCTATTAACTATTACAATCCAGAATCAGATACATAATAGGATAAAAGAAAATAAATCGCAGCGCAAAATTTAATCGAACACATGATTAGGGTTTTGACCCTTTTGGTTAATGAAAAGATCTTTTTATTGTTTTTTATTTTAAGAAAGAAATTAACCTAAATTAATTACTAAATTAATAAATTAATTAATTAAATGAAAGAATTATTTTTGGATTTTTTGTTATTTTAAGAAAGGAAAATAAAATAATTAAGGTTAGTAATTAAAATCTAATTAAATCTAATTTAATTTTAATTTTTTACAAAAAATATATTAAAGTTATTCTAATTAAAATCTAAATCAATTAATTAGTATATATTAAATAAAAAATAAAAAGTTAAAATTTAATTGAATAAAAATATTTTTGGTGACTTTAATTTATAAAAGACTGAATTTTTGATTGGTTAGTAATTAAATAAAACAATTAAATCAATAAATAAATAAACAAAAAGAAATATGAAAGAGAAGTATGGGCCTGCTTTTATGGTGTAGATAGCAATTGGGAGGCCCAATATGTGCTGGCCTTTGTTGACTTTTAGGATTCCATCCGCGCACCTGGACTTTGCCTATGGTGGACATTCATTCTTGAACTCTCAGATTTGGCCTTTAGGCCATCTGGCCATTGAATGGATGAGGGCGCATGGTATGTTGTAGCTAGGCATATGCACTGGATCACCTGAAGAATAAAAACATTGAGAAAGTGGGGGACCTGGGATTCGAACCTAGGTCCTGAGAGTAATTGCTCGCTTGCCTTGCAAACGCACCAAGTTGCTTCAATTGTTATATGAATACAAAACAATGATAATAAAGCAAAACAAATAATTATTGGTCAGAACAAAAAATATGCGCGCCATTTTTGAATGGCCCAACGAGTGAATGCCAGCTCTTCGTCCCTGTCCTTCCACTACTGTAATTTTACCTGCGGATTTGAATCTGCAGTTAAAAACGCAGCTAATTCCAAAAATTGTTTCCAGGCAATAAGAATGACTTTCAAGGGCATGGTTGTGTTCGTCTCATCCTCCCGGATGCAACCATGCCCATTACGTGGACCAATTTTACCTGCAATAAGAATCCCTAAAAACAAAAACACAACCCTAGTTATGGCGTTTCGGGGTTACAGCGCCTATAAACCAAATTGATTATTGCCAATGGTTTACAAATAACATGAGGGTTATGAATATGCAATTATCTCATTCAAATGATGCCAGAATAGGCCAAATCGAATCCAAGAACAGAGCTAGATAGTGTGGGACTTACAGTATGTTATGGGGTCTGAGGAAGCTTGCTTTTGATCCAGGTAGATTGAGTGAACACCCAGGAAGCGTTTGGAACAAGTCTTGGCCCTTGAAAATGCCTCTAGCTATGGTTTTGATCTCAAGCTTTTTGATGAATTTTCCAACTTTTGTTCTGCCTATGTTTGCACTTTTCCAACCCTTATTCACGTCCCTTTGGCTTGCTTATGTAGTGTGGAATGTATTAGGGTAACAAACTTGATTCAAATCTTGCTCCAATAATGGTTGCCAATTTCATTTGATTCTCCATTACTAAACCTTCCAAATTTGCCAAATCTCAATCTGTTTGCACATGAATTGGTCTGATTCGATTTTGATGATGTTAATGATGATGATCAAATCCTGAAATAGCAAAAAGATCTCATGTAATCAAAGTTTTGGATTTTATATGATTTAATTTGATTTAAAATGAATAAATTCAAATAAAAATCAAATAAAATAATAAAAATAAAATATGGCTCATGGCTGAAGCTAGGACACGTGGACAATGATGCAGACTCAAATGAAGTGGAAAAGAATGGGCCCATTTGGAAAAATTTGAAGTTTTGGGGATAGTTGACTTTTGGCAATTTTACAGAAATGTCCAACTTCAACAATGCATAACTTCTTCAATTTTGAGCTTTTAGAGGTGTTCTTGGACTTTCTATAAAGCTTGAGATGTCCTATAACCACATCTTTTGGTCTCATCTCATTTTGATATTCCATTATCAAGTTATAAGTTTTGGAAAAAAAGGTGTTTTTGTTGACTTTCAAAAATGACCTATAATGTCCAAATTTATAACTTCTTGTGAGTAATTTATTGATCTTGGGTTATGAAGATGGATTGTAGGAAATTTCCTCCACTTCAAAATGAGCTTTGTATGGTTCATTTCTCATAAAGTATGCGAAAGTTATGCTTGGTCAAAGTTGAGTTGACTTTTCCTACAAAACCCTAATTTAGCAACTTTTGAGTCTTGATGAATTTTGAGAAATCCTTGATGAATCATGATCAAATCTTGATCAAATGATTAAATATCCTTCAAAATGAGAATGTTGACAAAAAATATTGAAGTTTGACTGTATATAGGTCACATTTGACTTTTGCCCTAACACTGTCGATTTTTGGACCTTTTGAGCAATTGACTGAGCAAACTTCCTCTGCAAGGCTTGAAATTTGACATGGATGGTCTTGAGATCATATTAGGACATTTGGGAGCACTTGAGGTCATTTGGACTCAAGGATCTTGATGCAACACAAAACCCTAATTTGGGGTTGACTGCCTTAGGAGATAGCTTGTCTGACCCACTCTTGAGCAACCTTGAGCCACTTGGAGATTTTTCTTGAAATGTTTTGAGAAATATGAGGGGGAAAATTTTGGGATACAACAGCTGCCCATGTTCAATCTTCTTAAACCTGTGGATGTATATTGGCTTTCGTGCTCTTCGTGATCCGAAGGTGGAAGATGATTGAACACTAGAGTGCCCAGAAATTTGCACTCGCATGAAGTGGTATCAGCCTTGTGATGTCAGGAATGGGCTTACAGATGCCATTTGGAGATTGCTGGCGGGAGGATGGACTTAAAGATTCCATCTGCAGGAGTGTCGATCGCATAAGAGATTCCTTAGCGAGAACTTGCATACCTGTTGTTGTGGAAGATTCCGCTGGGGAAGTCTGATCTTTGTTGAGATTTAGGAATTGTCTGTAATTCAACTGGGAGAGCATCTCTGCTAAGTTTTAAGAACTTGTCCGTAATTCAACTGGGGGAAATCTGTCGAGATTTAGAACCTTATTTTTAATTCAACCGAGAATAATTCAGTTGAGATTTAAGAACCGGTCAGTACTTCGACTGAGGAAAATTGTCGAGATTTAGAACCTTATCTGTAATTTAACCGAGACTAATTCAGTTGAGATTTAAGAACCGGTCAGTACTTCGACTGAGGGAAACATCTTCATCAAGATCTAGGAACTGTCTGTTACTTCAACAGAGGATAATTCTGTTGAGATTTAAGAACTCGTCCACACTTTGACGGAGGAAAATTGTCGAGATTTAGAACCTTATCTGTAATTCAACCGAGAATAATTCAGTTGAGATTTAAGAACCGGTCAGTACTTCGACTGAGGGGAACATCTTCATCAAGATCTAGGAACTGTCTGTTACTTCAACGGAGGATAATTTTGTTGAGATTTAAGAACTCGTCCACACTTCGACGGAGGAAAATTGTCTAGATTTAGAACCTTATCTGTAATTCAACCGAGACTAATTCAGTTGAGATTTAAGAATCGGTCAGTACTTTGACTGAGGGAAACATCTTCATCAAGATCTAGGAACTGTCTGTTACTTCAACGGAGGATAATTCTGTTGAGATTTAAGAACTCGTCCTCACTTCGACGGAGGAAAATTGTCGAGATTTAGAACCTTATTTGTAATTCAACCGAGACTAATTCAGTTGAGATTTAAGAACCGGTCAGTACTTCGACTGAGGGAAACATCTTCATCGAGATCTAGGACTGTCTATACTTCAATGGAGGATAATTCTGTTGAGATTTAAGAACTTGTCCACACTTCGACGGAGGAAAATTGTCGAGATTTAGAACCTTATCTGTAATTCAACCAAGACTAATTCAGTTGAGAT